ATATATATATATATATATATATATATATATATATATATGTATATATATATATATATATATATATATACGTATATTGAATAGAAATAATTCGTGTAATTTTATCCAAGAGATTCCTAACCTAAATGTGTATTGAATATTTTGAACATAAATTAATTTCTTTAGTTATAGAGTAATAACATATTGCACAATCCCTAGAAGAAGACAACAGGGAAATAAAAGGCAAAATGACACTCGAGAAAAATATTGAAGATTCACTTACGTTCAAATTTTTAATCATCGACATTTTGACGGTGAATATCATAGCTAATGAGAAATTATAAATAAATATTAAACAAATGAAAAATTTATATCAGCCATCATCGTGATCAACCAAGAGAAGAATTATTGTGGTTATTTCTTAAAAAAGAGTGGCATTACCAAATGCATCGCCAACGTTTAAAGGAGAATCCAAAAGCAAACCTTTACTATTCTAATAAACATAGAAAAATAAATAAAAAGATGGCTTTTCTGTACTCTTATCCAAGAGAAAATTAAAAAATCAAAATTAGTAAAGTTACCTTTTCCCACGGCTTCAAGCAAAATTTCAGCTAATTCTAGAGCTGGCTCGTATACATTCTCCGGGAACATCACATGCCCATATCTTGCAGCAGTATAGCCCATATCTCTAGCAAGTTCAATCTGTAAGCGCCTAAAAGAAGAGTGTAATGTAACTCATGGGAATATCAATGAAAATACAGCACTCAGTGTTTCAGAGATAAATACTATGAGATTTTTCCAATAATTTTCAGAAGATAAATATGTACTTCATGAAATGAGATTTTTTAGAATACTAAGTCATGAGTAGAATTGGTTTCAAATGCAAGTTTATGCGTGTAATGCATGAAGGGTTATTAACTGGAGTTATACACGTAAAAAAAGAAAACTGACCTGCAACTTAGCATCAGGGCCTTGTGTCCACCAACTTGCACAAGCATCAAATTGTTGAGAAATCCAATCGAAACTCTGAAACTAAACCATGCATTGGGCGGTGTAAGCCTAATTTTTGTAATCAATTGTACGATGAACATGTTAACGAACTAACATAATGTTACAAATGAAGACAAGAATGCTTTCAATGATAAGATACATGAAACTTTGCACAAGCTCTTTAGAATAAGCAAGAATATATATCAACAAAGAAAACATAACTTCTTCGAAACTGATTATCAAAATGCCAACCTTGTGAACAGCAAAGTTCTCTCCACAGCGTGAATCTATAATTGTAACCTTTTCTTCTGGTACAAGCTTATGCTGAGTGAATGGCCACCATAATACATCACATGCTTTCTTTCGCATGTCATGTAATCTCTGAGTTCTTTCCAGAAAATTTGAAAGCATTATCTCCTTGAGCGAACTGAAAACTGTCTGAGACTCGTCGAACCATGCTATCAGATCATCGGACGTGTCTTTTGGAATAGATGGAAGCACGAGTACAGGCACCCTAGGAATGGCCAAAAAATACTTATATTGGTTATTAAACTGTCAAGTCGAAGAAATATTTTTGGCACAGGACGGTGGAGAAAATAACATTTCCAGTGCAAAGAAAATAGACAATAGATGAAAACCTAACACACTCATACACAACTTCAGGGTATACAAGCTTAGTATACTGATTGAGCATGCAACTTCTCAATGACTTGACTCAAGAATTTTGAAGGAAAAGCAGGTAAACAGAAACCTCTTTACCTATTTCGGAAATATGATAATAGGGGCACCTCGTTCATGAGACTGTGATCCTCAAAAATAACTGCAGCAACATCATATCCTCGAATCTTTAGACTTTCATAAGCAGATATGGTTCCTGATATACCACCTAATCGTCCATCCCCCACAAGAATAGCTGGCAGACGGAAAGGGCTGCCACATAAATAACAAAGTTGAAGGTGCAGTAAGATAAATGTTGTATATGTGCCTCATATTTTCCCGAACAAGCAACGAATCACAATCATGGTCTATTTTTTAGAAGAAAGGCTTAGACTACCATTATTCCAGATCAATGCAAATGAGCCCTCAAAGACCAGACAACTTCAACAAAAACTTATAAACGAGACTACTAGTGACTAAGATTGTTCAGTGTTTTGTGACACATAATACGCCTCTCCATATTTAGATATATACTCAAGGTTTTACGTCTTTCATTCCTCATCTATTCACATTGCAGTGGGAAGCTTCTTTATAGTTCTGAGGTAACATTGTGCGGCATAAATAAACCAATTCCGTGTCAAACATAATTACGGTATCTACTATCTACAATCGTAATTATATCACATGCTAAAAGTGCAAAAATAAAAATAAATGCGCACCGATATAGGTCGCACTGAAGAGTACCAGATGGGCCAGGACTGGCTACGCCGCCAGCTGTCTCGATCACACACATAACTTCCAACTCCTCCGAAGCACCCGATTTTCCAGCCAATCCATTTATTAAACATCTCTTCAACATGTCCAATACCTCTGAATCCTCGACTGCGGCTTCCTCCCTAGCAGCGGCTAAATGAGGCGACACAGCCTCTTTCCACCCGTACATCGTCTTGCAGACAACCTCAGACACTGGAAATAGTTCTGCCTCGTTACTCTCGCTCCCCTGCAACTTCCTCTCCTCGTAACAATTCAAATTCTTCCATCCACAATCGAAACCCCCACCTTTTTCGACACCCTCAACCCCGAAATTATGGTTCCCTACACTTCCAGCCACAACCCCGTGCCCTAGGACTTCATTTGCAGCCGGAATAGAAGCTTTGAGAACACAATTCGAAGCAAAAACAGAGTACGGCAGGGGCTTACTAGCAAAGAAGTCGGAGAATTTTCTGTAGACAAAGCGCGAATCTGAGTCATCGGGAAACCCGGTCTGAACTGGTTTAAGGTACACAAATCTCTTCTTAGGAAGCGGAGCTGCGGAGGAGGGGGAGGGGGAGGGGGAGATGAAAGACATGGTGAGGCCGGCGGAGACCAGAGTTTTGCCGAGAGAGGTGTTGGAAGCCCAAATTGTGTAAATTGGGTGGGTCAGGGGGTACTCTGTCACCGAATGGAGGCGGCGGAGGCCGCGCTGTTGAATAATGTAGGATTGTTTGATTAAGAGGCGGCGGATTGAACCGGAGAAGAGAGCGGTGGTCGTCGGCATTGTGTGTGTGTGTGTGAGAGAGGGAGAGAGAAGCCCTAGCAATTGAGGTGGTTGAGGGTGAGGGAGAAGGGTTTTAACGGCTACAAGAAAAAGAGCACGAAATTCAAACGTTTAATGCGTGCGCTGCTGTGTGACACGTGGCAGATGGTGAAACTTGACATGATTGTAATCTTTTCACTGTTTATATAAAGAAATAAAAAAGAAGTATATAGTAATATACTATTGTAAAGAGTTGGAAATATAATTCATTTTTATTTTCATGTTTTACTAATAGTCAACATAAAAAATATTACTAATCAATTTGGACTTCCAAGTAATACAATACAATCATCATTTATAAAAGATGACCAAAAAAGGTTACATCCAAGGAGAACAAGTACCCAACACTATTTAGCATAATCTATGAAAAAAGAAATTTGAATTGTCATTGTTGGCATACAAAAAATTTAGGTAACATTGTTGATCCGAATCAATTCATTTCCACTTGCCCGTTAAGCAGATGTGGCCCAATAGTTCCGCAAGGAATGGTCTAATGGTTGGAGCAAGTGAGCATGTGTTAATTGATTCAGGTTCGAATTCATTTGCCAACAATTGCGAGGGCAAGCTTGCCGCACATAGTTAGCATAGTGTAGTTCAGATCTCTCGTATGGTTCGCAAGCTATTATACGAGAGTATAGATTTACCCAATGCACTTATATGGTCGCATAAACTGATCGCCAAAAAGAATCTTCCAATGAAGTCCTTGCAAGCAACTCCTGCAAACAAGTCAATAGAGGGATAGAATAGCCTCATTAGAGAGGTGGTCGGCTACCATTAGGCGACACACTCAGAAGCAGAGCCACCCTCTGGCAAGGGTGGGCTCCAGCCCACTGTGGAATTTTTCTTTTTACCTATATATACCCACCCATGTATATTCAGCCCACCCAATTATTTTAATTAACACACTCAGCACAAAGTCCAGTTTCTTTTTTTAAGAATTAATATTCTGCAATCAGTAATTCTTACTCATCGTTTGTCTCTATTTTTCGTTCAATTTTTCTGTTTTTTGTTCAATTTTTCTTCTACAATATCCTACTACGGAATAACACACAACACGCCACAACTCTATCTTCTGCAATTTTTCTTCTGTAATACGAAACGGAACAAATTTCCAAATTCCAACTAAGGTAAAAAAAAAAATTGGGATTAGGGTTTAATTGATAATATTTGATTAAGAATGAATTTAATAGTAATTCATTACATGTGGAGTAGCAGATGGTATTAATTTTAGGATTTTGAATATTTTCTTTACCAATTTCAATGGAAGTTGTCTTTTGGTACTGCATATTTTATTTTTTTTTCTGTTTTTCACATATATAATTGTTCGAAATATGAGATATTTTAATTTGATTGCTTGTCCTTTGACCAATTTTTTTAGCATAAAAAAAGAAAAATCGAAAAACAGGGAGAGAGAAGTCTATGTAAGAAGTGATTTTAATAGTGATGGGTTTCATAAAAGCAATTCTAATTATTTGTATAGTAGTGTGTGAAGAACATGAAAACTCAATTCCGTTATTTTGTTTCCTCTCTTACTTTGTTTTTTTAGTTGCTGACTTGTTGTGCTTGCCATATCTGATAACATGTGTTCATATTATATTCAGTATAGTGTTGTTTATGAGGGTTAACTTTTTTATATGAAAATAAGAAAAAAAAATAAAAAAAATAATATGTACAATTTTTTATTGTCTATGTAAGAAGCAGTAGCTTAGAGTAGTTTTGAGTTTCAACTTTTAAAATAATATTTTTTTCATTGCAAATGATTATTGGATTAATTTATTTGCTTAGTAAATTTTACGTCTTCAATTTTGTATGATTAAACAGTTATGAGGAGATATTTGAAGAGAAAATCACCTTCTCCCCAAATAAGTGATGATTCTTCATCCGGTAATGCATTCCAAGAGGTTAACTTGGGAGATCTTCTTGCAGATCATGGACAAAGACCTAGTATTTTGCATTATAACATTAACGTTCGAGATCAAGTTCGGAGAGCATATTTGCAAAAGGGCCCTTGCCAACCTCATAACCACGACTTCCCTCCTACAATCTTTGGCAACCAAAATAGACGGTTTAATAAAGTTTGGTTTAGCGGACATAGTAACTGGTTGGAGTATAGTGTATCAAAAGATGATGTATATTGTTTATGTTGTTATCTTTTCAAACCAGATATTGGAGGTCAATCGGGTGGTGATCATTTTGTTACTGAAGGGTTTAAAAATTGGAACAGTGCACATAATATGGCTTGGGGAAAATGTCAAGATTTGATGAATCAAAAGCAACATATTGAGACGGTTGTTTGTAAACAGTCAAATCAAGAAAAAGCTAGATATAAAATCCGCTTAAATACGTCAATTGAGGTGGTCCGATATCTCTCAACACAAGATTGGCATTTCGTGGACACGATGAAAGTGACAGTTCGAATAATCCAGGAAATTTTATTCAACTTGTAAAAACTTTTGGGCGAATTAATCCCGATATCAAGGCACTTACTTTGAATAATGCTCCGCTAAACCAAAAGATGACAAGTCCGGATATTCAAAAAGAGATTGTAAATGCTTTTGCAATGGAAATTATGAAAGTAATTATAAGTGATCTTGGTGATTCGCCGTTTTGTCTGATGGTCGATGAAGCACGTGATATATCAATGAAGGAGCAAATGGCTTTAGTGATAAGATATGTCGATAAATGTGGTAGTGTGATTGAGCGTTTTCTAGGAGTTGAACATGTTACCGATACTAGTGCTTTGACTCTTAAAGCAACTATTGATAATGTTTTTTCTAGATATGGATTGAGTATCTCGAAATTAAGAGGCCAAGGTTATGGTGGAGCTAGTAACATGAGAGGTCAATTTAATGGCCTAAAATCACTTATCTTGAATGAGAACCCTTCGGCACATTATATTCATTGTTTTGCTCATCAGTTACAACTCGCTTTAGTAGCAGTTGCAAGAAAACACGATCATATTTCTTCACTTTTTGATTTTACTACAAGAGTGTTAAATGTTGTTGGATCATCGTGTAAACGTCGTGATTTGCTTAGAGAGAAGCAATCTAAAAAAAATACTTGAAGCACTCGATATGGGAGAAATTTCAACTGGGCGAGGTTTAAATCAAGAAACGAATCTTAAGCGAGCAGGTTAGATTATTTTTAAGCTTCAAGATTTTCTTTTTTTATTTTAAGAATGTCTTGCCATTTTCATTTTTTAATACTCTTGAATGTCCAGGTGATACACGTTGGAGCTCTCACTACAACACTTTATTGAGCTTGATCAATATGTTTGGTGCGGTGATTGATGTACTTGAACTTATTGGTCGTGATGCTTCAAGTACAAGTCATCGTACCGAAGCACAGGATATTGTAGATAGACTTTTGTCATTTGATTTTTTATTGAGCCTCTTTTTGATGAAAAAAGTACTAGCGATCACAAATGAGCTATCTCAAGCACTTCAAAGAAAAGATCAAGACATTGTGAATGCAATGACATTAGTTCAAGTGTCAAAGATTCAAATTCAATCCTTGAGAGAAAGTGGGTGGAGTTCTTTACTTGATGGTGTTACAACTTTTTGTGAGAAACACAGAGTTGATATTCCTGAAATGGATGCTAAATATGTTGCTCGAGGGCGAAGAAGACGGAATGAAGAAGAAATGACAAACCTACATCATTATAAGATTGAGACATTTTACACTGTCTTGGATATGCAACTTGGAGAATTAAATGCTCGATTTTCTGATTCGACCATGGAACTGCTTATGTGTGTTTCTTGCCTTGATCCATCGAACTCATTCTCCGATTATAACAAGGAAAAACTACTTTGTCTTGTTAATTTTTATCCAGAAGACTTTACCGAGTTTGACAAATGTAAGCTCAGTGATCAATTGGATAATTATATTGTTGATATGCGCCTAAGCAAGGATTTTTTTGGATTGAATAGTATAAGTGATCTTGCTCGCATAATGGTAGAAACTAGGAGAAATAAGGTGTATCCTTTGGTTTACTTGCTTTTGACATTGGCATTAACATTACACCCTTTGGTTTACTTGCTTTTGACAATGGCATTAACATTTCCAGTTGCTACCAGAAATTGATAATGAAACAATCATGGAGAGTTTTCAGAAATGGAAACACGAAGGGTCTAGTTAAAGGATGAATTGAGGTATATTAGTAGATTTTATAGATTTGTAGTTATTTTGGGCAACGTTAGGTATAAATCGGAAAGAAAAAAAATTGGGGATGCTGCCCATGAACCCCGTAAAGCCCACCCTAGTTCGAATTCCTGGCTCCGCCAACTGGACACACTTGCTCGCCCGAGCCATGTGACATCATCTAATGCACGTCCCGTCAGCTGACAAGTTCAGAGAATGTTTGCTACTAACAGTTTGTGCGGGTATTCTAGTATTCACCTGAAATGACAATGACAGAGTTAAGCCGTCCGAGTACTAACCTCCAGATTTCTTCTCTTTTGCAAATTCTGTTTAAGACCAAGGCACAGTCCAAAATCCCATCAAGAATATGACTTGGTCAATTGTAAACATGCATAATCGATAAATGTATAGTATACAAATAAATGGGGCCAAGAGAAATTAGATAAAATGAATAAACATTTGTCAAACTGTATCCAGGAAAATTTCACTGATAAAATACCATTTTCACTCAAATGTCTGAAAAATAAAAATTTGTCCACATAAGCAACAAAACAAAATTTCAAAACATAGCAAAATTTGATCCCATAGCATTAAATTCATCCTATTATCTCTCCTCAAGTAGCGGCATCTATGAATGCTCTTCCAGGTTGTCTTCGAGCCAAAGGTCCGTGACATCCAAGAAGCTGCAACGTTTAAACAATGGTCAAAACTTATACATACAAATAAACGGAAACAAATAAATCACTCTTAGCTAAAATTCTAATTGATTGAAGTTTCTGGTTTTCACATGCACCCAAACGCAACTTAAAGTTGTTCAAGACAAAGACAAACCTTGGCATTCACACCGTCATTAAGAATTCTATTCTCAGACTTCCATCTCACATAGTCAGTGCGGCTGAATTTGGTGAATCCCCTGAAAAATAAATGTACAGCAAATCAGCAACCACTCTCAAAACATCAATCGAGTCTTCATTTTCATTTTTATTTTTCACACACTTTCAAAGGCAAGCAGCAATATTGCAATAATACCCGATTACAATTTCCAAACAAGAACACATTCAAAAATAACTAAAGTAATCAACAACATGCTCAAGAATTCCATCCCCACAAAACCAAACGAAAAGAAATAAGCAGAACGGTGAAAAAACAATTATCAGAAAACAAATGGCTCACATGAAAGGAAAAACGCAGAGAGAAAATAAAATAAAAGCAAGAAATAGATATATGCATAATTCTTAATCCAAAAAATACCATTTCCTGCTGACGATGATCTTTTGACGACCAGGGAACTTGAACTTAGCACGGCGAAGAGCCTCCTGGGCATGATGACTGTTCCCATCCTTGCAGCGCACAGACAAGAGCACCTGTCCAATCGCCACGCGGGCGCACACACCCTGTGGTTTACCGAAAGCGCCCCTCATGCCGGTCTGGAGCCTATCAGCACCAGCGCACGAAAGCATCTTGTTGATACGCAGCACATGGAAAGGGTGCACCCTCACCCTCAAATGGAAAGCATCTTTGCCAGCAAACTTGGTCATGTACTTGTTGCACGCAATACGAGCAGCTTCGAGCGCCTCGCTGGAGACATTCTCCTTCTCCCAACTGACCAAGTGGACGCAGAACGGGAATTCATCGACTCCCTTCTTCTTCATCCCGACATCGTAGATACGGATTTTTGGGTCCGGCACACCACGGCAGTAGCGGGACTTCGGGTAGGGTTTGTTCTTGATCTGACGGTAACACCTTGCAGGTCCTGAAATTAAAGAATAAGACATTATAGATCAAAAAAATATTCAAAAGTAGAAGCTTTATTTATATACTTCCGAATTTTCTTTTGGATACGATATTGGTTACAATAAAAATCAAAATTTGTAATCTTGATACACATTGATCCACTGTGTAGCATCAAAAAACCCTATTTTCTCAATATATAAGGAATTATCCAGAAACCAGCTACATTGCACAAGAATACATTGATAAATTTATTCAATCAACAAATCATAACACAGCTTTAATCGAGGATCGGTGAATTTTCAGATAAGAACAACAATGTATCAATCAATTTTATTTCCCCAAGCTCTTGGTAATAAAAAAAAATTAATATAATGCAGCAGCATATAATTAAAAAAAAAAATCAGCGGGAAAACGTAGTAACATGATTTCACCAATTGGAAGAATTAACATTTACGCGAAAACCAGAGAAAATCAACGATAAACAAATGAAACTAACAGCGATTACAGATCGAATAAATGCTATAAATCAAAACCAATTGGAGACTAATAAGAATCAAAATTAACTTTTTCTGCGTACCCAGATCCGTTTATTGATTCCAAATGATACGCAGAAAGAAGAATACATACGATAAATTAAAGAACAGAATAAAGAGGGCTTACTTCTCCCCATCGCGAGCTGCTGTAATTGGTCCCGACCAAAGTGTGAAAGAGAAAACCTAACCCTAATTTGTTGATGTGAATGTGTTGGATTATATATCTCATGCTTGACCTTTCAGATGGATTGTTGTATTGGCCCAATATGTTAAAAGCCTATCTCGGCCTTTTTCCGGCCCAATATTTTGATTGCTGGTTTTTCTTTTCATTTTTATTAATTATTATTATTATTATTATTATTATTATTATTATTATTATTATTATTATTATTATTATTATTATTATTATTATTATTATTATTATTATGTGTAATTGACACTTTGCACCATTGAATTACATACTTTTGACACTTTTGCACCCATAAATTGAAAAAAAATGAGTACTTTGAACCCCCAATTACATATTACTTGGTACTTTGCACATTGCTACACATTTTGTTAAAAAAACTGACATGCAACCGGTTCCGTTTTAACCCAAAATCTGTTTAACCCGAACTCGATCCATAAACGGTAACCTACGATGTACAAAAACTTCTACTCACATGCGTTTCCACGTCTGGAATCATTTCGGGAATCGAAACTCCATGACACCTGTCAGAAACGTTTTGGGGTCGTATTCATAAATATTTAAAATTTTCGGGCACGTTTATGGTAACAGTGAAAAAATGAAAACGTGTTTCCACCCAAAGGAAAATCAAAAATTCATTTTACATAAAAACTAAGAAATGCATACGGTTTAAAAAAAAACTTAAATATTATGTCTCTTTTTCACTTATAAAGGTGATTTAATATTTTCTATAGATACTAATTCCATAATAAAATAAATTTATATGGTCCGAATGTAATTTATGGAATGGTAATTTGGACTGAAACTTGTAAATTATATATAATTTGTAGATACAAATATGTAATTAACAACAAGTATACAAGTTAAATATAATATATTTTAGAAATTATAGATGCACCCCTATATTTTTAATATTTACACACTTACCCACATTACGGTATCCAACTTTATGAAAAACGAAGTTTCTCCGACCCGTTTTCCCATTTCGACGTGTCCCCATTTTCCATGCCCGTGCTACATAATAGACGGTAACATTTTGATGGGGGCTATTCTGGTCTCATTCATGGTGAACCAAGCCCAATTACGGCGATCCCAATCCGATGGCGTGATTTGAGAGCATCTATGTTGGATGAGAAGGCCATGGCCACATAAAAGCAAGAAGTAAGCCTCATCTAAAGCAGTCCAGGATAGAAGCCATTAGGTAAATTCGCAGTAATCAGACGAGCATTACAGGGTTGCAGCCGACGAGGCCCGCTCGCCGGGCGGCCCAATCTTAGGTACCCAATTACTTTCATACTTTCTTCTAAACTCCGTCTCATATTTACTGTTCTGATCTGCTTGTCATTTCACCATCTTCGGTCTTAAATCCGACATCCCGTAAAAAGAGTAGGGTTTGGAGTGAGGTATGGAAGTCACATTTAAATTAAACATACCATTTTGTTGCAAGTAAACTGCTTCATTCAGATGTAGCCACGACGACTACAAAGATCAAAACCAAACGGACGGCTGAGATTCTCCCTTCTCCACCACGCCAATATTTCATCATTTTATTTACAACTGCCCACTGCCACTGCCACTGCCACTGCCACTGCATATTATCAGAATACGGAATACACGCAGAACCAAACCCTCGTCTGACCGGAAAAAGAAAAGCAACCGGCGATGGTGTACGAAGCAATAAGAATCCACTCCCCAAACCCCTCCAAGTAAGAGAACTACACCCTCATATGCGACTCCCACACCGTCTTCACCGTCGTCACCGCCACGCTTGCCTTGATGTTTTTCTTGTTTTCTTAATGGCCAAGGTTCTCAAACTTTGGAATTGGGATTAATTAATCAATCATTGGATATCCTACGTTTTCTTTTTGACACTGATTAATATAATCATGGGATGTTTTGGCATTTTTCCCTGCTTTTTCTGATCACATTTTGTAGATGGTTTTTGTTAATGGGTTTTCATGAAATGTACTGAATCTTGTTAATTTCTTCATATGATTTCCATGAACAAGGAAAATGATTTTGCTCTCTCTCTCTCTCTCTCTCTCTCTCTCTCTCTCTCTCTCTCTCTCTCTCTCTCTCTCTCTCTCTCTCGTGAATTCATAATGTATGTTAATTGTTTTTGGTGTCATAATCATTTCTGGATCATATATTAATCATAAATTTTTGTTCGACTTCAATTGTTTCAATGTCTTAAAAATACTCGAACAAAGTTTAACCAAACTGAATACGAATCAAATTCGGGTAGGTTGAATTTTGTATATGTACTTTATCATTTTTGTTGCAACTGAATGAGTTTCATATCTTAACGAGCGGAATATGTATTTAAGTGGGTTTGGTAAGTTAGGCTCTGATTGGATTCTGAATTTTAAAATGTAGAAAATGTAAATGAAAAGGAAAACGAAAAGAAAATCAAAGAATTTCGAAATCTTAATTATGTTTGGTTCCAAGGAGAATTGGTGGTGGAAAATGAATATGTGGAAAACTATTTTCTTTAATCTTGTTTGGTAACTAGAAGAAATCAAGAAAATATTGAAATAAAAACCATTAAATTCTCTTTTTTCTTTTTTTTTTTTTTTGAACATAAACCAAAGTCTAAAGATCATTTGGTTTACAAATAGGGACAGAGATTTATGGGGAAAAAAAACTTAATTTTAGCTATTTTATGTAATATTGTATAGTTTAACTAATTCAAACTTTAATTCATCTAATTAAACACAACTCAAACAACAAAGGTCAAATTAATTTGTTACTTCTGTACCCATTTGTTTTTTACTTGTTCACTAGAGCTCGAACCACAGTTGAGCTCATATCAAATATGAAAAATATTATAAAATAATTCAAGCGCCAAGGTCAAATTTGCAATCAAATTCAATTATAGTCTATGCATCACGAACATGTTGACGGTGATACTGGAAAACGAGGAAACGGTATATCTCAAAAAATGTGGATACGGGAGCTTGGGGGAAATGTGTAAATATTAAAATCATAAGGGCATATTTATAAATATGCTATATAAATATATATAAGTTTTTATTTATAGATAAATTCTCTTTATATATTTTGATACAAAACCTATTCAAAATAAATTTTACTATCAACTATCAGTTTGCAATTGATCATCAAATTGTGTAAATAACTAGGTAAATAACAAAAAAAAAAATATTTCATTTGACGTTCAAACATGTTTCTAACTTATTAGAAATCGCAAAATGACCCATGAGGTATCCGGTAGATTTCCGACACAAAAACGCATCCGAAACGCGGAAACATAAAAAACTTATTTGAAATATAGGCTATAGAGATAGATAAGCTGTCCAAATATGAAATTATAGTGTCTTATTACTCCACAAGTTGCACCAAAATTTCAACCTCAATAGTGAGGCAATCATCAACTAGGTAGCCATATCTGGGATCCCTCAGTGCAGCAAGACTAATGAATTTATGCTTTCCCCAATCCTTAACCGAGGATGTAAACCATACAGAAACTGCCACATGGAAATTTCAACATTATTAAAGAATATAATATCATTAGAAATAATTAAAAAATAGAAATAAAAAATCAAATTCACAACTCACATTTTTCGGAGTGGTGGAAATCACCCCTGCATTTTAGGCGTATGTAGAACTCTGTCTTTACTTTTTTACGAGCATCAAATCTATCGGAATCAACACATGCCAAAAATATTGACAAATGACTACCACCCTTTGAACTGGGATCGGCTCCATTTGGGTATAACTTCATCTGCCTAAATATGCAAAAATATTTTTTATGAGTTTTTTAACATTAAAAAAAAAGAGTAGCTTTTTTAGCAATATTTCAAGAGAGTTTTTATAATTACAAAATTCCACATTTTTTGGATGTGGAATAGGGGTTTCTCACTTAAAGTCTTGACGCACTCGTCGGAAGGACCAGACGATACAGTTGGTTCCTAGTAGTTATGGTTTTTTTGGAAATTCAAGAGAAAGCCAAATGGATATATAAGAAAAGGAATGAGAGAACAAACTACCAGTTGATATCTCCTATGGTGAAAATTTCAGAAAACAAAATATCTGCTTTCAATTTGGAGAATTCATGAATCTTCCATTCACGTTTTTGCGGATATTGTGATGCCGGGTGGAACAAATTCACACTCTCGATCACCCTTGGTGTTTTGAGGACAAAAACTTCAGCTCCAAGAACAATGTTGTCGTTAATAATGTATCCACTTGATTCATCTCCCAAAATTTTCTTAGAGATGAATTTGGGAAATCCCCATATAGATTTTGCATTGTTGAAGCGTCGCCCGTTTGTTCCGTTCACTGGCAAAATTTAAAGAACAAGAATAAAGAAATAACAAAACAAGAAAAAAGAAGACTTGTTATTGTTGATAAAAGTTACCTCGCACACAAAGATAATTATCTAGGATCTGATTATAGAGGAAGATGGTGAAGATGGCATTAAACTCCCAGTTTACGGGCAAAGAACTAGTATCAACCATAGCCAAGTATACAGAAATATGGTTGCGTTTTTCTTTATTCTGACAGTGCACATTGGGATAGATTACGAGTCTCCTGTCCAATATAATATGAGTAGCACATCGTGACAACATTTAAAAAATGAACTAATGAATATTCAAAAGTAAAGAATGGCAATGTTTGATTCGTTTTTAATTCACAAATCTTCATATTATTTCACCAAAAGAAATTTCTGTTTATTCAGTTTTTAAAAATGTTTACCAAAAACAATTTCGATAATTTCTCTTTCCGACCGTCATGGTAAAATAATGTCTTCGCAAAAAAAATAAATTGCTTCAACAATTTAAAAATACACATATGTTTGTCGAACAAGCACAAAGTTCTATATATTTAGTCCAGCATATGATCCATGACCAGACCTAGTATGATTCGGCTGGAATGACATGTTTGTTATTTTTCGAGTAATGTTGCGATTATCGGCCCTTAAGAGATTTTTTATTTATTTTTTAAGCTTAGCAAAAATCTACTATTACTAAGTATCTTTTAAGAAAAATCGAAATTATTTTAACAATGTAACTAGAATAGATCTTTGCAGCATAAATTATCTACGATTGTTCAATCATCATGCACGAAAGATAAAGAGATAAATTAGAAACATACCATTTGTAATCCCCGGCTTCAAATTCCCTTGTTTCGTATTTTTCAATATCATAAACCGAAAGTAAGGAGAAAGATTCAATCTTAGTCATGAAGTGTGTGGGCGAAAAGTCTCTTGTTTCCACAATAAAATCTGGTGAATCTTTTAAAAAAGAACGAAACAAGTCCATTAAAAAAAAAGCAGAAGAGATAAATGCTTAAAGGAATCTTCTAAACAAAACTAAGTATTTAGCCACGAACCCTCGTGATCCGTTGGAAGCACAGCCGCTGTTTTGGTAACGGAGTTTTGCTCAACGGCCGTTATTCTTGGAACGGAGTTTTGTGCCGCACAGAATATCCGAGTCGTGACCCAAGCTAGCGCCGCCATCACCAAAAAAACCATATTTTCTGGCACAAAAAGAAAAAAAGAAATAAAGAAATAAAGCAGCCCAATACGAACGCTTAAATAGACACAGAATTTCAAGAAAGAAAATAAGCTCGATACGTATCCTTTTTTAATAGGAAACGTATTCCACTGTTGTTCTAGGGCGTAATGCACACCATGTTAGTTTTATTTTAAATCTCAATTTTATATATATATATATATATATATATATATATATATATATATATATATATATATATATATATATATATATATACATATATATATATATA